TGCTGATCAATCTAATAGTGTTAAATACTTTTATGGAATGAGGCAGAGGAGTGGCAAAAACAGACAATATCCTTATCAGATCACCTTGGTCCTAGTGCTCAGAAATGAGAGGGGTGAACAGGCATCGGTGCTGACGTTTAAACTTGCAACTTGCTTACATTGTCTATCATAATAATGCAGTGACTTGAACCTACCAACAGACTAAGAATTTGGCAACATTGTTTTTCTTATTTTCTGATTGACTTTCACAGGGTTCAATGGTTCTCGGTGGGAGTGCTACTGCCTCCTAAGGCATGATTAGGAAATTTCTGGGGTGTGTTTTGGTTGTCATGATAATTTCGCGGCCAGACAGTACTGGCATTTAAGGGGCCAAGAGCATTGACACTAGACCTTCTATAATGTGGGAGATAACGTGCATGACAAAGAAATGTCAGCATTCTGTTTGTGATTATTTAAGTATAGACTAGACTTTTTTAATGAATATTTTATTTTATTATTTATCTATTTTTTGCGGGGGTGGCGCAACCCTGGGTCTTGCAGGATTTTACTTCCCCAACCGGGGATTGAACCCAGGCTACGGCACCAAAAGTGCCGCCAGGGACTAGATTGGACTTTGAATCACATGGAAAATCAAAGTTTCTTTGCACAGTTTTAATGCACTACATTTTCCAGGAATGTAAGAACTGTGTATATCTGAGGGGAGACTATATTTCGTTTTGTTTGGAACATTGTCAGGAGTTGTTCACCAACTTGGAAAATCATGGTCCCTGATCATGGCGTTGGAGGAAGCATGACACTCCTGTACTGGTTGGTCTGAACCTGTGGTGATTCTAGTTATAGGTACACACACCTGACCACTTAGTATGTTTTCTAGTGTAGTTTTACCTGGGTATTTCCTTACTGCTGTACATTATCTTGTTATTAGAAATTAGTTTTCTTTATTTCTTCTTTATATCACAGTTAGGACATTATACTGATTTCTGAAAAACCAAGTAGGTAGGTTATATTCTCTATGAGTTTCATTTCAAAATATTAAAGGAGATATCACAAATCCTTGTTATAAAAAAGGGGCACTGCGTCTGACAGCGTGAAGACCTGCCCATGGATCTTGCCATCACACCAACCCTGATGCCCATTTTGGTAAAGGGATGGAAGGCTTCAGCCTCCAGCCAGACTATTATTTTGCTTGGCTTCCATCCCACCCTCCTTACTGCCACCAGACTGTTCTAAAATGCAAATACAGTTGACCCTTGAACGACGCATGGGTTAGGGGCGCTCACCTGCACACAGTGGAAATTCTGCATATAACTCATAGTTGGCCCTCCGTATACCTGGTTCTGCATCCACAGAACCAACCAACCACAGACCATATATAGTATTACTGCAGTGTAAGTGGACCGGTGCGGCTCAGGCCCGTGCTGTCCAAAGGTCAGCTGTACAGTGAGTGCTTCATTACCTTGAGTATGAGCCCCAGAGGCCTTAGGTTGACTTTGGAGCTTTTGGGGTTAGTTCCTTTCCACTTCCTCACCCCCATTTTCCGTTTGCTCTCCCACTGGCACCCTTCCCTGCAGCAGTTGCAAACAACCCAACCTGTTCTCTCGTCTTTGTTGGTCCATCTGCCTGGAAAGCCATCCCTAATTTTCTTTCACATGGTTGCCCCTCCTTTGCTCTTTGAGACGTGGTTCAGCATCACCTCTGGCCTCTAGACTCAGCTGGTTCTCCTCTGGGAGTGCACAGTCCCCCATGTTCATCTCCATCGTGGCACTTGTCACACTGCGTCGGAATTGCTCAGTGATTCTGTCTTCCCTCATGAGACTGGAAAGCTCCTGCTACGAGGAACCTTTTCTTTCTTTCTCCCTCCCCCCATCTGCATCTAGCACAGTCTTGGGCACATATCCACTGCTCCATAAATGCTGGAGGCTGGAGAAAGGCTCTAGGTAGAGGCATTTATTCCACTGTGAATGAGTCACAGTGGAATAAATGCCTTCACTGCATTTTTCTAAGTGTCCAATTAAACTCCAGCATCCGTAAGTGCTATGATCTCTGATGAGTCAGTCTACTGCTGGTGGCAGGCTTCCCCCCCCCCCCCCATCTTTTTTTTTTTCCTTTTTTCCACAAGGAGCCAACAGATGGGCTGTGCACACTTTTCTGGAGAGAGCTATTAGCATGTCTCCCTGGCTTCATGCCATCTGCTTCAGAACAAAGTACACTATTCAAAAGAAAAAAAAAGGCAACAAGGGTAATTGGGTATCATGTTTGGGAACTTGCAGGTCTCACTTGCTCTTCCTGGGTGGGAGGGATCCCTGCAGTGGGGGGCTTCCCCCAGACCTGTGAGCCAGGGTTCTCGGGCCACATGGCACTGTGCCTCCCTGAAGGGACATCTCAGTGGCAGGGCTGCAGTAGCACTGAACATGGGAAACCACTGCGTGGCTGCCACTGCAGCCACTTAACAGCTTAGTAACTGTTTACTGGTTAACATTCAACAGTGGAGGGAGGAGATGCCAAGGAGCATCTGTTTATGCCATGAAGTTCAGATCAATCATAAATCTCCTCGCTGTACAGTGAAAGGAAACAGCTGCATTACTGCCTTGCAGTTAGATTTTTTAAAGTGTTGAAAATCGCAATTTATAACCAGATGCTGGCACCTGGGGATATCCTCATTATTAAAAAAAAAAAAAAAAAAGCAGACTAAAATGGAAGAAAATAGTGAAAACTAAAGGACTCCTCCAACATATATATAGAACTTATATGGTACGTCTTATCTACATTATGTCATTTGATTCATTTGTTCATAGATGGCCCTCCTGGGTGCCAAGCACTGTTCGTCTTTGGAGATGCGTGAAGAACAAGACAGTAAAAAAAAAAAAAATCCTTGCTCTAGTGGAGCTCACATTTTTTGTGAAGTTGATCCTTGCAAACAAGCCTCTGGGGTAGCTGTTATCAGTATCTCTTTAATCTGCATACAAGGAACCTACAGCTTCAGGAGGGGAAGGTTTGATGTGGCTACACAGCAAGGGTAGGTAGCAGAGCCAGGGTCCCCAGTGAGTAGGGCGGAGAACGTTTTGGGAGTGCTTACTTATGTAAACACTGCCAGGCACTGTTTTTAATGTTTTATACTACATGTGTTAACTCGGGAACAGCTCTATGAGGTGGAATTATCATCCCCATTTCACAGGTAAGTTCCCTGAGGCTCCAAAGCGATATAGCTGAGTGTCAACACAGCTGGTTAGTGGCAGGGTCTGTACTCATACAGAGCACATTCTCCAAGCCCTTCAGGCCAGCTCTGCCATGTGCAGTCAGGAAGTCAAAGACCTAAACTTTATTTCACGCATGTTTTAAGAAAACATCCCAAGAAGGCAAAGGAAAAAAATATAGGTAAGAAGAAGACATATTTTCTTCTACTTTAGACGTCAGAGTAATAATAATAACAGCATTTTCCACATCGAGCATTTACAACGTGCCAGCATTTTTCAGAGGCACTTGACTTTATTTTCTCATTTAATTCTCATGATATTGTTGCAAGGTAAGTATTATTTTAAATTCAGTTATAAAAATGAAGAAACTCTGACTCTGACAGGTTAAGTAATTTGCCCAGGAGCCTAAAGCTTATAAATAAATGGCTGAGCCAGGGTTCAAACCCAGCCTATTAATTGTGCTGCACACCCCAGGTCACTTCCCATCTCCTGGTCACTGGCTGGGCAATTAGGGACAGGAGATGGAGATTCAACAGCTGCAGTGATTTTTAAGGCCAGTTAAGGGAGGAAGACGGCAGACAGTTTAACACCAGCTGAAGCCCAGTTTTGTTTCTCAGCATAGCCTAAGTAGAGTAAGAGCAGCAAAAATACGCTAACTGCAATTAATTTTAGACTTACTTTCTAAAAATTAAAATCTTGGGAGTAAAAAAAAAAAATCTTGGAGGTAATCTATTTTTTTTTTTTTTAGCAGCTGAAGAAGCAGAATCTGAATGTGCAGAAGTGGTTTATCCACAGTTTGCAACACAGCTGGTCAACTACAAGACCCAAAATCCAGGCCTTCAAAGCTCTGGCTGGGGGGAGGGCCCAGAGCAGTGCAGACAGGTTCTCAGGCATTTTAGTCAAATGTTAGGGCCGGGGGGCTTCCCTGGTGGCGCAGTGGTTGAGAGTCCGCCTGCCGATGCAGGGGACGCCAGCTGTCCAGGCCATAAGGAACGCACTGTGGAGGCTGCTGTCTTTTGCCAGTTTCTCCAGGTGACAAGCTGGTGAGCTCCCTAGGAGGCTAAAGGTAGAGTTCTGGTGCCGGGCCCCCTCTGTGGTCCTCATCACAGGCCCAGAATCTTCGGGGGCTTTGCTGATACACCTTCCTGGCTTCCTTGCTCAAGAGCTGAGGCTTTACCCACAGCAGACCTGCGTCTCTCCCGTGTGATGCACGCAGCAGGGCCCGTCTTCTCTCCTCTAACCTGAGAGTTCTGAGTCAGCCGCAGGTCTACATCTGCTTTCTTCTAGGTGTTGGCTCCTACCAGGAAGGGAAGTGGAGGGTGACGGAGGGTGGAGTTTCTGACAAAACTTCCTTGATTGATGGAGAGTGGATGGCTTCTTCCATATCTCTTTTGTTCACTCTCAATACAACTGTATTCAAGGTTCAATTCACTTTTTAAAAAAATAAATTGCTTTCCTCAAATCATTGTAGATTTGAATTAGAACTTTCCATGTGGGGACTGCCCAGAGTGCCTTCATTTTATAAGGCTCAAGGCAAATCAGGTGAAGACAGAAGCTGAGATACACCTCATAATCATATTAATAATGAAAAAGCTTTACAGAATGTTTTTAGCTGTTTTTAGTCATTAGAAGGATGGATGGAAGGAGGGGGGGAGGGAGGAAGAGAGGGGGAGGGGAGGGGGGGAGGGGCCAGGTCATTTCTCCACCTGGAGCACTCTTGATCCTGATGCCCTCCTGGCTCACATCACACATTTGCATAAGCCTCTCCTCCTGACCACAACCTCCATTCATACCTGCCCTGGTCCACATTTCCTTCTGTCCATACCACTGATCATTTTCTCGGATTATGGTAAGCTACTTATTTTTATGTTGTTGTCCATCTCCCCAATAGAAAGTAAGCTCTCTGTAGCCAGGGGTCTGTGTCTTTGGTATTTACTGACACACCCGAGACACCTAGAATAGGACCTGGCCCATAGTGAGTACTGAGTGGATATTTGTGGAATGAACAGGCCTAAACATGAGTAAGTTTGGTGCCATCAGATAGTGGGGACAAAGCATGGTTATTCTGGATACGAGGCTGATGGCCCAGGAAGGTGGTACATTTCTGAAAAACTGTTATTCTTATTTAAAATGACAGATTCAATAACACTATTCCCAAGGACGTTTTAATATCCACTTTCGGTAGAGAAAACTAGTCATTGCACTGTTCCATTTTAGGGGTGGGTAAAACAGATTTGATTGGAAAGCTTAGCAATTAAAGACATTTCTAGGCTACCTATAGATTCTCAACTGTAAGTCAGACCCAGTGGCTATCAACCTCTGTTGCTTCTAGAAGTTCATAATGATCCCTCAGCTCATACTACTTTGGAACAGAGTATGAATTTTTAATTTCACTTTGAATTACAGCAAGGTTTATATTTGGTGGCAAGAATTTGTTTCTAATGCTGTGTAATTAAAGGTAATTATTTATAGAAGAATGCAAGAAATCTGTATTCTGAAATATTCAAGCGCTGTCATTTATATAAATAAAGTAGAAAAAGAAAGATAAAGCCACAGATTTCAAATATGTAGTTAAAGAAAAAAAGTCTTTAAGGATGTTTTTGCCTTAAAGACTTTGCTTTTTGCCATGTATGCAAAAAGCAGAACTAATACCACCTTTGGCCATGTTCAGGTAGAGTGGGCCAGCTACACGGAGTGCCTGATGCCATGGAAACAAGATGCCTCAGACCCCACCAATTTGCACCTGCAACACTATTACTATATATATTTTTACCCTGTTGTAAAAGTATATATTTTATATATATATATATATATATATATATATATATATATATATATTTTAAAGAATATTTGGAATATAGAACAAACGCTCTTTAAATCACTAAGAGCCCCATTATAATTCACTGTTAGCAGTTTGTTCTATCTCCTAGGTGTTTCCCTTTGCATGGGGAACCTCCCCTTCTTTAAGCCTCCACCAATAAGGCCGATCTCTTCTATCAATCAGATCTCTAGAGGTCTGCAGAGCACGGACTCACACCTCCCCCACCTTCCCTCCATCTGGCTGAGCTGGACAGTACAAATCAGGATTTGCACTGATTTGCATGGTTGTGTGAGCACCAAGCTCCCCAAAGCTATACACCTGGAATCTTGACCTTTCAGGTGCAAGACACGAGTGATTTCCAGGCTGCAGCATCCCAGAGCTTTGTGAACATACCACCCCCCTGCCCATGGCAGTTTCTCAATGTCACCTGAAGAGTCACAAGGAGAGAATGGTGGTCCCACAGGTGTCTGGCATAATCTGGCAGTGGTTCAGTCAACCCTTTCTCTTTCTTGGTGGGTGGAGGCAGAAGGAAGGTGGAAGAGGACTTACCTGAGGGTACAGCAGCAGTGCCGAAAGGTACAGAACCAAACATGTCTGCACTCGCCGGAAGTGTCTGAGATGAAGACGGGATAAAGGCATCACCTGGAGTTGCAGGAGTCTGTCAGCCAGAGAAGGACAGGGGTGCGTGAGGCTCCTGGGAGAACTGGCTCAGTGCTAATCAGGACGGGAAGCAGCAGGCACAGGAATTAAGTGGGGGCAGTGCTACAGAAGCAAGTCCCGGTCCGGGCCACTTACTGTGGCAGGCAGACCACGAGCTGGTTATAAAGACTATAAAAATGGGAAAAGCAATACCCATCTCTAGAGCTGCAGAGAAGCTTAAATGAGATCATGCATTTCAAACACTTAGTACCTACCACACAGAGGCACATAGTAGGTGCTCAGCAAACGCTGGCCAGTATCACGACTATTTAGTTTGAGCCCCTACCCTCTGAGGGTGTTTTTGGGCCCTCAAATTATCCCATAGTGTCTTTCACCCTTCAGAAATGGTCAATTCAAAGTGACATACACTCACTCAGGACCTACTGCGTGCCCAGCTCAAGGCTGTCACTTAATACATGGCCAATAAACAGATGTTGACTAAATAAACAAATAAAGATTAGCAAGTAGAATAGAGACCCTTGGGTCCTGGTGCCTCCCAGAATCCTGCCTGAACCTTCACTTGCAAAAAGAAGCAAATGTTCTCAAGGAGATGATAAAAAAAAAAAAAAAAAGATGCTTGAGCAGCTACAAACTCTAAAGCCCGGCCCATGCTGGAATTCCAGAAAGGCCTGCTGCATGAACTACTGGGTAAGGTGAGGCTACTGAGATAAAAACATGGGTACTAGTTTTTTCAAAGGTCCACACCCATTTATAGAAGCCTTTTGCCTACAGAGTATGCCTATTCGATGCCATCACATGCTTATTTTTTCCCCCTTGGAATAGATTGGAGCAAGCAATTAATCCTGAAACCATGGCAATTAGACAAGGCCATTTTTAGACTAGCAGCTTGCAGGAGGCATGGCATTGTTCTGAGGATTATTAAATACCCATTTGGACAGCACTTGGGTTTAGGGCCAGAAACACAGCCATGAGCTGCTGCGTTAAGCCCTTTAAGACACAATCAATGTCATTCTCTTTTTTTCTGGTGTGACCTTGGGTGAGTCACATGCCCTCTCTGGAACTCAGTTTGCTCATCTGTAAAATGAAGAGGCTAAGGTTAGACAATCTCTCCAGACCTTTCTAGCTCCATGGCCCCATGGTTCAGACATGCAGCTGTTCCCCCTGGGATGGAGGAGACACTCTCTAGACTGTCCAGCTTCCCTGGAGACAGGAGCTGCTGTCCCCTCCTTCACAGCTGCTCTGGGCACCAGGCGTTCGGAGCAGAGCAGCTGTGCCTAGATTCCCTGGCGGCAGCTATGGGCAGCAGGCTCTCATGCCATCTGTCCTCAGTGGTGAGGTTACAGCCATTTCTCCGTGAGGTGCAGCTAGCCAATGACCCATAGCACCATCCCTGGGTTTGTGCAACTGCGCGGCGCCTGGAGGAGCCGGCCCCTCCCAGCAGCTTCAGCGGGTGCAGCTGTGCCTGCCTGCTCTCCGCCCACCTCCGGGGAGCGGGCAGAGGAGGAGCTGGAAGGGCCAGTTTGGCATTTTTCTCTGCAGTGGCTGCAGGGTTGCCTCTGAATGCCTCCAGTTCTCAAAGCACTTGGATTCTATTTTGCTTCGGTTTTCATTCTTTTTTTTTTGTTTTTTTCCTTTTCCTTTTCAAGTGAGGGCTCCCTGCAATCTCTACCCCAGTGCAAGCAATGACTGAGATACTGTGGCTGAAACTAGAGCTGGGAATCCAAAGCTTCATGAGCTCAGCGAAGCCAGCAGGCAGGTGGGAAGGGAGGAGGAAATGCAAAGAAGATGGAGAGGGGAAGAAAAGAAGGAAACGAGAGAGGAGAGGGCAGAAAGGGCGGGGTGGGGGGAGAAAATGCTTCTTTTACTGGGCTGACCACCTGGCTTCCTTTACCGTGTGGGATCTGGGTAGGAGATGACAAATGCCTCATCGGGTCTGCTGTCCTGTGGAGTTTCTTGCCCATATTCCCAGCTAGACCATGTGTTCCTTGCAGGTAGGGATCACATCCCGTTCCTGACTCTCTCCACTGCCCAGCATAACAGCAAGAACCCCAGTGATAGCCTGTAATTGCTGATGCATGGTCTCATTTATTTCTCAAAACAGGGCATGTATCATAACCCCTTTTTAAGAAAAAAATAGCAGAGGAAATTGAGGTTTAGAACTGTTAGTAAATTTGCGCAAATCACACAGCTTGAAAGAGTCCCAGTTGAAATCCACCAGTAGCCTCTTTTACCCAAAGCCCATATTTTTGTCACCATGCGACTGAAGCAGGAAAAGAAAGAGATGCAGGGCTCTGAGGCAAGTGCATACTTACGGGGGGAGAGGTTATATCAGGAGGGGTGGACATGTCCCCAAAAAGTTCTAACTGGGTCACAGCCTGAAAAGAAAAAAAGATAATGGTGTAATCACAAGGGGAACTGATGCTGTGGGCATTGCTTTAAAAAAATTTGATTGGAGGACACACGTTTCTTTTTCATCATGACTATATAAACAATAAACCCAGTTGGTCCTTATGATACCTCTTCATCCCAAAGACAACATCTCGGATGTAGCCAGAATCAATTATCGCTTCAGCGTGTCCGGCTGTTTATCTGGGCTTAGTCAAGCAGATCTGGGTTTAGCCACCTTGCACAGGCAATAATAATACCACTTTTACATATTTACCATCCAATGCCAACACTGTTTCTCTTCTCCAGGAGACAAAGGCAAGACACAGTCTCACCATTTGCTTTTTTTTCATGAGTGTATCCACACGTACAAAATGCCTTTCATGTATCAAGTACAGCAAGTCACCACTTCATGGCCACTTCTCAGTAAATACTCCCAATAATACTGACCCTGAGAGGTATGAATCCTCATCCCCTTTTACAAATGAATAAATTGAGTCTCACAGAGGTCACCTCAAGGTCACCCAGGCCATGACTTGAATTTTCTGCATATAGAGCAGGCAGTCAAATGACAGTCCCCAAAAGAATCCATCTTTAAGATAAAAAATGTAGTCAGAGGAGAAGAAAACATATCATTTAATACCAGGAAGGGCATCAAAAACAGCCCAGTATATATACACTATTAATCATTCTTAGGAGCTCCATCACTGTAGACACCGTATCAGCTATATTCCCATCCATCATACGACAGTGTCTGAGCAAGGCCAGCCAGAGCAGTGGGAGAAGCCCTTTAAGACACACTTAGAAATTAATCTGCGTACACTTGCAGCTTCAGAGTCTGCAGGGAGTCTGTGGTCGGCAACCAAATGGCCTGACTTAAAGTACATAATCGTGTGTTTTGTGCAAATCTGCCCACTGCAAAAAAAAACATACTTTCTGCTCGTCTTTGGATTTTAAGTGATAGTTTCTAATTGGTGGAACCTAAAAACACCACCCAACTGAAAGGACAGGGAGAGTCTGCCTGTCTGCCAGGCAGGACCCCTGCCCTCGAAATCTGTTCTAACCAGGCAAGGCAGGAGCGCCACGTTTCACACAAAGAAAGGAACATTCTCTGTTACTGACAAATGCGTGAGCTCTGGGCCCGGGAAAAGTCCCATCCCCAGGGACGTATTTGAGCTCTCCCACTGCCAACCTCTGCAATTGCTCATGGCCACTTTTCCCTCATCTGGACATTGGAGATAATGTCCAGATAATACCTCCTTTGCAGATTTACTGACAATATTACTAGCAGGATTTTGAAGTTTGGGCAAGCCTGGTGAAAAAGGCACAAAAGATTCTTTTCGCTGAAAGTCAAGCAGCTTAGCCTGGTTAACTCACTTAAGCTTTCAGATTGAATGAACGGTGCGTGGCACACAATAGGGCCTACATATTCACTTCCCTCCCAGCTACATAATATGTTTTTTTTTTTTTTTCGTACACGTTGGGCTGTGAGGTGTTAGGCACTGTGCTGGGTGCTCGGAACATAATAATGAGAAATGACAAGTCCCAGCCTGCAGGGAGCTTACAGTCTGGTGGGGACGATCCATAGATATAGGTTGTAAAACTTGCTTGTTTTCGGGAAGGCTTCTTTAGCATGTGAACAACAGTTTATATTATTTGGTGAAATGATGCCAATCCTTAGGCTCTCTCCCAAACCCACAAAAGGCGTAATTCTATTTAATCCATTCAAGGGAAGCTTCTGGGCTTCCTGGTCCTTGGAACTCAATGCTTTGCAAATGGCCCACGACTATTTTCAGTGGTAGGAAAATATTAAAATGAAGTTAATAATTAAGTCGCACAATTTACATTTCAAATGTGTTGAACTCGTGGCACACTTTCACTAAGACCATAAATATAATTTATTGGCTAATTTTCTCTTTAAGCACAACTTTTAAAATAACCTTCTTTCTTGAGCTACAGACTTTCCTCCTGCCCGATGACTTCCACTCAAGGATTAAACGAGAAAAAAACATGCAGAGGCATTAAACATAGACTGGTATTTCATTCCATTGGATTTGCTGCTTAAATAGAACCTTGAGTTAATTAAATTTTATAGAAAAAGGGGATTCTTAGGCCATAAAATTAAAAATAATTCTAATAACCATATGTGATTGAGAATCTGGAATAATGTCTATTTTCACAGGCCCTCTCCCCAAGTTAACCCTAGTCGTTTTATTTGTAACTTAATAAGCCATGTTCCACCTGATAATATTGTTGTAATTAATCACTTTAACGGCCTCATGAGAATAAAACTAACCATTCACATCTGTAAAACACTTTATAGTTTACCACACATTTTCTGATACAGCATGATCATGTTGGATGCTCCCTGAGCCCCGTGAAGTTGGTAGCCCAGGAATCTCTCTCGCTCTCTCTAGTTTGCAGATAAGCTATAACAGAGGCCTGGAGGTTAAGTGACTTGCCTCTGATTGGTCAGCTAAAAGAAGCTGGGCTTGACCCACAGACCAGCCAGCATCTTGTTTATCCATTGGTCCCTTTACCAAGCCCTAGTTAGCCTTCCTTCAAGGTAGAAGTCCAGCCCCACAATATTCTCTAACCAGAAGCCAGCGTTCCCGCGAGTCCTGCCATGACACACATCCATCTGAAGAAGTCATCTCCAAGGTCAGCCCCAGATTCCTCCTCGCCTTCCCATTCCTGGCCCTTCGGATGGCTTCCGGTAGAGACATGGTTGTTAATGGCAGATTCTGCCCCTTCTTTAGGTCCTGGGCGTCCTCCAGGGTAAGCAGAGGGACCCTGGAAGCTGCCAAGGCCAGTGAAGGGGTTGAGGAGGAGCTTGGCTGTTGAGGGGGGAGCCCCTCGGTGTCTCCATCAGGCCTGTCCCCTTCCCCCCACGAGCCATCCTTTGATACGAACAAATGATGGTTTTCCAATAACAGCTGGAGCGCTGTACAACCTCTTTCAGGATTAGACCCCTGGTCCTTCTTTCAGCCAGCCCATGGCAACTGGACTCCTAGGTCCCTCCTGTAGAGAAGTTCTGAAAGTGCCATTGATGAAGGCAGAGGTGTCCTTGACTGACCCCCAAGACATATTCACACAGACCCACTCCTGTTCTGACATCAGGTACTCCTTCGTTCAGGACAAGTATGTAGCCCCTACTGTACATCAGCTACTGTGCCAAGAGCAGGGGATACAGGGATGAGTCAGGCGTGTTCCTGTTTTGAGTCTCATGAGCTGCCTGTTCTACGGGAAGACAGACCTATAGACACAATCAGGGCAGTGTTACGGAGTCGAGAAGCACCGGGGGGCTCACGAAAGGAGGGGCTGCCTCAGGGCCTTTGCACACGCCCCTCCTCTGACCTAGAACACTCATTCCCTCCCCCATTGCCTTTCCCACCCATCCTCCAGGACACAGATTAGAGGACTTTCTTTCTTCCTGGGAAGTGTTTCCTAACTCAATTTGTACCCCAAATCCCACTGCCCCCAACAGCTTATGTGAGACTCTCAGAACAGTGGTTGTCAGCCTTGGGTGTACGTAAGGGAAAAATATGGATGCCTGGTTCCCACCCCTTGAGGTTCTGAATTAGTTGGTTTGAGGTACAGCCTAGTAACTGAAACTTTAAAATCTCTCAAGGTGATTCTAACTGGCAGCCCAGATTAAGAACCCCTGTCCTAGAGGCTTCCCAAATGCCCTGTACTCAGGGGTGACAACGTTCACCGGCCTATGTATTAACCAATCTGAATAAACACTGGCTGCAAACCAGTATACTTATTCCAGGCTAGACCGACCAAATAGCAGCCTTGCCTGGTTTTTACCTCCACAGGTGGACTGAGCACATCCTGTTTACATGTCTGAACCCCCACTATACTACATTATACTACACTACACTGTGCTCCCCTCCCCTCCCCTTCTCTACTGACCCCACCCTCTCCTCTCCTATGCTATGCAATGTCGCACTGTGTTATACTTAGAGCTCCCTGAGAATAGGGGTTGCGTCTTCCTCTCTATCGCCTCCCTAGCATCTATCAGAACACCTAGGACACGTCAGGAGACTGAAAAATATTTGTTGAATCAAATGAAGGGGTGTCACGTCCTCTCCAACACACACTCTTTCTCTTTCTCTCTCATGCGCACAAGCACGCACACACACATACCCACGCCCCTACCCTTCTCTTTCATCGCGGGGCCCACCAGGAGTCTCCTGTGAACATTACGATAGGCAGGCACTGGAGCAGAGCAGAGCGCCTGCCATTCCTGCAGGAGGGTGAGGATGCATGGAATGGATGAGAATGACCAGAGCAACCCTCACTTCACAAGCGCCTGGAGGTCTTACCTTTGTTGCCTCAAAAATCTCATCAGAGTCCATCTGCAGCTTTCTGTTCTGTAAGCACAAGGCATGACTTATGAGCATGAAATGAGCGACGGGACAGTGACATGAAACAGTTAATCAGGTTGGGCCCTCTCACACTTACAGGGGTCGCCGCTGCAAACCGTTCTTCAAAATCTTCAAACGCACAGCTGTTCTGAAAGCGTAAGGGATGATGAATGAGGATGAAGTGAATGACATACAAACGACATGGGTTTATGAGTTTAATGATGACGGGATCTACGGTTTACACTCCCGTGGTCTCAGGAGGTGGGAGCTGTTGCCAACGTACTGTGAAAACTCTAGGATATGCTCCCAGTATATGATAAAACACGGGCCTGACGAGGAAATACAAGCAATGGGGAGTTTGTAAGTTTAAAGTCCATCTTCCTGAAATTACAGCCCTGACTCGGCCAGTCTCAACAGTGGAAGCAGATAAGAGCATGATGTTTACCCTTGAGATTTTTGCTTTAAAAAGGAAAAGTGTTATCATGTGTTTCAGCCAAACTTAGTTAACTTGGAGCAGTCTGTGAAGAGCAGGTTTTATAAGTGCCTTTGTGCGTGCGGCCTTTTCTGCTTGAAACACTCTTCTCAGCCTTGCAAGCCCAAAGCTCACCCAATTCCTCAAACCCAGCTGAAAGGCCACCTCTTCCACGAAGCTTTCCTTGGTCCCCTAGGCTGAAAACCATCCTCCGAGAGCAACAGCGCATCACTTGTGCCCACTACACGGTGAACTTCCTGAAGCAGGGACCACGAAGCATTTGTTCTTGAATCCCTAGCAGATCACAGGGGATCGGGCTTGAAAATGTATGAACAAATGCACGCTACTAAGAATAGCTGGCAGTTGACCAAACCTAATTGTTTTGATAATTTTTTAATTTTGTTGTTTATAACTGTTGAAAGCTTTGCTAAACCGCTCCATAGTATTGCTGCCTAAGTATCCACTTTGTGTGGCCAAGCAGCCTGCACGGGCCTTGAACTGACACTAGCCTCTCCAGCGAGGCAGGCCCTAGATAACAACCCCCAGAGTCACAAATAAATGTCAGTTTCTGATATGACCATCCTAACAGCCCTTATGATCACACTCTCCCCAGCCTCCCAGGGCCTTCCTTTATGTACCCCTTAGGTAAGATTCCTTTGACACTTAACAAAACCCTGCTCTTTTTTGTTTGAATTGACCAATCTGGCCTCAGGCTAGGAACCCTAATAAAGGCAAGTGCCTCAGGTCCTGCCTTGCTCTCTGCCTGCATCCTGCCCTGACCTCCCCTCATGCCCCTTCCTCCAGGAACTGAGAGTAAGAAACTTCTCTATTTCAGTTCCCTGGTGGTCTTTTGTTGAACCCTGGCTCACCATCCGACAACACCCCAGGGCTTTACTTAACAAATGTTAATTTAACAAAGGCACAACATTAATACATATTAGTATGTATAACATCTCTATACACACACACACCACACACACACACACACACACACACACACACACACACACACACACACACGTGTATTTTTTCTTTTTCCCTTTCTTCCTTCCTTCTTTCCTCCCTCCCTCCCTCCCTGCCTTTCTTTCTTTCTTGGCTGCGTCCAGTCTTAGTTGCGGCAGGCGGGATCTTCATTGCAGCGCGGGCTTCTCTCTAGTTGTGGCACATAGGTTTTCTCTTCTCTAGTTGTGGCATGGGGTCCAGAGCGCGTGGGCTCTGTAGTTTGCGGCACTCGGGCTCGCTGGTTGCGGCAAGCGAGCTCAGTAGTTGTGGCGCGTGGCCTTAGTTGCAGCATGTGGGATCTTAGTTCCCTGACCAGGGATCAAACCCGCATCCCCAGCAGTGGAAGACGGATTCTTTACCACTGGACCGCCAGGGAAGTCCCTGTATACATATATATATATACTTTTTTAATAGTGTTTATTTACTTTTACTTGTTGACAGTTTTGCTTTATTTATTTATTTATGGCTGTGTTGGGTCTTCGTTTCCGTGCGAGGGCTTTCTCTAGTTGTGGCAAGCGGGGGCCACTCTTCATCGGGGTGCGCAAGCCTCTCACTATCGCGGCCTCTCTTGTTGCGGAGCACAGGCTCCAGACGCGCAGGCTCAGTAATTGTGGTTCACGGGCCCAGTTGCTCTGCGGCATGTGGGATCTTCCCAGACCAGGGCTCGAACCCGCGTCCCCTGCATTGGCAGGCAGACTCTCAACCACTGCGCCACCAGGGAAGCCCCATATATTTTTAATGCCCATGTTTTGGTCTACATTTCCAAGCTAATTACACTTTGGGTGACTTCCAAGCAGTGTAACATTAATATAAATCTGAAATATCGACATTAAATTGGAGTTATTATGCTTGAACAGAAATGCATTGTTTCCACATTTTGAGGAGAGCTTCCTGTTGGCCATGGAGGAGTGGAGAAACCACCAGCCATGATCACTTTCACTCTGACTGTAGCAAACGTGACTGTACATCACTCAGCCCCAGTTACAGGGTAGCAGAGCAGAGCAGGAAAACCCACATGCCCGTACCTACCACGGCAGAGCCTTCGGGCCAGACACCAGCAAATTCCGTCATCAACCACCTGCTCCCACCAGGCCCTGGCTCGCCAGGAGTCAACAGTGGCCAAGAGAAGAGGAGGAAGGACCACATCAGATAACCACTTTAATAATAATAATAATAAAATAATAATAATTATTATTATTATTATTTGGCCAGAGACAGGGAGACAATATTAGTCTAAGTGATCCTGTAACCTATGGTGTGGCCTGAAAGGTTCAGGTTATGCTGCTACATCCTTTATAAATCTCACACTTCTAAGGATTTATGGCACAGCCCCTACCAACTAGCTCTGGGTCATAACTTTTAATAAAAACATTTTTTAGTGTCCAAAATCTCATTACATCTGTCCAATATAAAAAAGCAAATGGCTTCAGAGCATGATGGATGAATTAAATAAATTTGAAAAACAGCCGGTGGGAGAGTCTCATAAAAGCCCCACCATATAATGAAAATGTGTGAGGATAGCCAGCACTGGTGTGAGTCCGTCACTTTGCTGGTGACAGAAGAGGGGGCCTTTGGTGAGGGGTGGAGCTGGGCTGTGAGGAGGCGATTTCCATAAATTCAGACGGAGATTGGTCTGGACGTGAAAGCAAATGCATCTCTTCGGAGTCACACAAATACGGACTGAATCATGGCTGTGCCCCGTGCTGGCTGTGCGACCCTGGACAAGTCCGTGGGCCCCAGTTTTCTCATCTTCAAAGCGGGGATGATAATGATAACATCATCTCAGGTTTATGGAGAGGGTTAACTGAGATGTGTGTGCAATGTTTTGGTCGGTGTTTTGCACACAGAGATGTTTAATAAATCAGAGCTATTGTTAGGATCTTCTCATCCTATTTCTTTTGGCTCTGTTTTGCAATGCACAGGAACACGTTTTTTAATGTTAAGGAACTATTACTATATGATATTTGGAAAAAGATACAAGAAGAAGAAAAAAACATCTTGCAGGAAAAGCCCCTCTTTAGAAATCACCCCCACTTGAGAGCATGGACCAGAACCTGTGAAAAAGGATGCCCAACACTTCCTGGCCTTAGTCCTGAACCCCTCAGTCCACTATTGACCCCACCTTCTCCCTGTCCTCTCTTCTGTCTACAGTCTTACCTGAGCATCTTCCCATCTATACCCTTTGTACCTGGAGCTTGTGGTTACCTTCCTGTTTTGATCTTGGCTCAGTCATTTCTTGGAGTTCCTTCCTCCCACCTGGGGTAACCTTCAGTAACACTCAGGGCACTTCAGCCACGCAGTGGGAGACCCCTCCAGCCAGTGCCACTTTCTCTCAATTGATTCTCATGGGCAGAACCTGGAACCCATTCCCTAGTCTCCCTGCATCCCCACTTCCTGCTTTACCCACAAATACTACTAGAGTTTTTTTTCATTTATCTTCAAGTCTTTTTTCCCCCTTATTAGATACATTTCTTACAGTTACTATCATGGCATGCATGCAGCTTTGTATTCTGCTTTTAAAAATTCAATATGAGGAATCAGACTCCTTGACTTCAGACTATACTACAAAGCTACAGTAATCAAGGCAATATGGTACTGGCACAAAAACAGAAATATAAATCAATGGAACAGGATAGAAAGCCCAGAGATAAACCCACGCACCTATGGTCAACTAATCTATGACAAAGAAGGCAAGGATATACAATGGAGAAAAGACAGTCTCTTCAATAAGTGGTGCTGGGAAACCTGGACAGCTACATGTAAAAGAATGAAATTAGAACACTCCCTAACACCATACAGAAAAATAAACTCAAAATGGATTAAAGACCTAAATGTAAAGCCAGACACTATAAAACTCTTAGAGGAAAACATAGGAAGAATACTCTTTGACATAAATCCCAGCAAGATCTTTTTTGACCCACCTCCTAGAGTAATGGAAGTAAAACCAAAAATAAACAAATGGGACCTAATGAAACTTAAAAGCTTTTGCACAGCAAAGGAAACTATAAACAAGATGAAAAGACAACCCTCAGAATGGGAGAAAATATTTGCAAAGGAATCAACAGACAAAGGATTAATCTCCAAAATTTACAAGCAGCTCATGCAGCTCAATAACAAAAAAACAAACAAGCCAATCCAAAAATGGGCAGAAGACCTAAACAGACATTTCTCCAAAGACATATAGCTGGCCAAGAGGCACATGAAAAGCTGCTCAACATCACTAATTATTAGAGGAATGCAAATCAAAACTACAGTGAGGTATCACCTCACACCGGTTAGAATGGGCTTCATCAGAAAATCTACAAACAACAAATGCTGGAGAGGGTGTGAAGAAAAGGGAACCCTTTTGCACTGTTGGTGGGAATGTAAATTGATACAGCTGCTATGGAGAACGGTATGGAGGGTCCTTCAAAAACTAAAAATAGAATGACCATATGACTCAGCAATCCTACTACTAGGCATATACCCAGAGAAAACCATAATTCAAAAAGACACATGCACCCCAATGTTCATTGCAGCCCTATTTACAATAGCCAGGTCATGGAAGCAACCTAAATGCCCATCTACAGACGAATGGATAAAGAAGATGTGGTACATATATACGATGTAATATTAACCATAAAAAAGAATGAAATTGGGTCTTTTCGTTCTTTGGATGGATGGACCTAGAGACT